AGTAATACCTGCTAAAAGCAGGGCCAGGGAGATGGCTCAGTAGAACAAGCACTTGCCTGGCAAGCACAAGGGCCTGAGTTCAATCCCTGGTTCCGAAAAAAAAAAAAAAAAAAAAAACAACCTGCTAAAAGCTTCCAACAGAAAGCAGTAATCTTTTCTTACAAAGATTTAGAAATCTAAAGTAAAATTAGCTTCAAAGAAAAACTTCTTGAACTACCTTTATACAATGAAAAATAAAAAGCTTTGTTCTTATGAAGATTCACTTACATTGTTTTTCTTCCTCTGATGTTCAACAGCATTCTTCAAAGAATCTAACTCATTTTGGAGCCCAGTTATTTCTTTCTCTTTTTGTGAAATTCTAAACCAGAATAAGAATACATATTTTCAGTGGACTAATTTTAGATAAACAGAAATATAATTTAAATATTAGCTAACAAGTAAAACAGTAACTACCTATCACTGTTACTATAAAAAGATAATGGCTCAAAACCTGTTATCAACTTAGTAAGCTTAGCCACTGTTTACCACAGAAAGCCTATTCTACACATTCTTAACTTTAGAAAGTTACAAATTGAAGTTTACACATATTTTAAAACAGCTGAGGTTTGTGCTAAAGAAAATTTTTAGCCCCCAAATACATAAATCATGAATATATGAACTGCTGTAGTTATTTCCTTTTTTTATCTGGTAGTGCAGTAGTTACTTTATTCACTCACTTGTTTGCTGGTGATACTGGGGAGCAGAGCCAGGGCCTTCACGCCTTCACACTAAGCTACCTCCTAACCTCATTCTTTTTATATATATATATTTCAATATATAAAATCTATTATATATTATAAGTACATATATTTATTTGGTACAGGGTCTCACTACGTAGATGGGACTTGTAGTGATTCTCCTGTTTTCAGCTTCCCAAGTGCTGGGATTACAGGCGCCCTCCTTTAATATTTTTGAAATAGGATCTCACTGACATCCCCAGGCTGGGCCCAAACTCACAATCCTCCTGCCTCAGCCTCCTAGAGTGCTGAGATTATAGCAGCATGTTCCATTAGTAGCTATTTCTCTAAGGACTAACAACTGATATTGAACCAGTACCTTACCTGTGCTTTTTAACAAGGCAATGAAACCAGATACGATTTTTAAGTGGCTCACCCACAAAGACAGCATGATATTAAAATGACAGGTGTTCCCCTATGATTTCCACACCAGGATTCATGTTCCCTCCCTGCTCCATCTAGTTTGTTTGTTATTTACCAGTAAAGCAGAAGGCAATGGCAAAGATTCTACCGACTGAGAGTGGCTTGGTAGAAAAGTAAATCACAAATGAGTTTTTCATAAGAAATATATGGATTTGGCTACAAAGCTAAATCATATATATCTCTTTCTTAAAGTAAGAATAAGAGACTGCCCAGCCCACAGTCCATAGGGGTATAACCCTTAAACTAAACATTACTGTTTTGCTTATTTATTGTTTGAGCCACAGTCTTGATCTGTATTACCCAGGCTGAACTCAAAAAATTCATGTAGGCCCAAGTGACCCCTGCCTCAGCAACAGACATAGCTATAATTAAAAGTGCATGCTGCTATGCCCAGCCTCTTGTTTTATGTTTTTAAAAGTTTAAGAAAAGACAATGGAAAGAAAAAGGGAAAGGAAACAGAGACATATGTACTCTACCAGGCTTAAAAGTGTTCACTATCAAGCCCTTATTTTTATTTATTTTTTTTGGCAGAACCGGGGATTAGAACTCAGGCCCTTCTGCTTGCCAGGGAAGTGCTTATTCCACTGAGTCATCTTACCAGCCCCTTCAAGCCCTTATTATAGAAATGTTGGGTTTGCTTCACATAGTCGAAATTTATAAAGACTTACACCAGTATGTAATTCTAACCTTATAAAGAATCAACTCTGTCAACAAACCAAGAAAGAAGAACATTTATATTACTTATGTCACCTGTGAATATACTTAATGTGATTGAAATTCAACATGTTGAGACATATTATACTATGACATATCTGAAATGACTTTGAACAGTCTTTTAGATAAAATTATAGGCCAATAAGCAAGAGTTTCAGTAAAAACAGTTCTCCTTAAGAGTACAACAATGAAGATTATAAATTTTCTTTAAATACAAGAGTTAAATTTGCACCACTGAATTCCACAATGAGATTTTGGAATAAAGCAGACTCAGTGGAACAACTGAGATGATTAAAGGGGATTTAGCAATGCCTTAAGTAGTTTGGTATGATTCAGTTGGGTGTTTTCTGAATGCCTAAGGAAAAAAAAAAAAAAAAAAGATAAAACAAAAACAAAAATAAAAGACCCTAAAAACTTTCAAACATCCTCCTTGAAATATTTTTCCAAGGCAAAAAGGATATAAGTTGGCAAAAAAGCACAGGTAAGATCCACTGCCCTGCAGCTCAAGATATCTAAATAGGGCTGGGGATATAGCTCAGCAGCGCAGCACTTGCCTGGCAAGTGCAAGATCCTGAGTTGGATTCCTAGTACCCTACCAAAGATATCTAAATAACTATAAAAATCATGTGAATATCTGCAGGTATATCAAAATGCTTCTGTGAACTACAATGCACACAAAAATTTACCACCTACCATACAGTGAATAAAACTTAGTACTTACACTTTAACTAATTCTTCATGAGGGGGAAAAGACGCCTATTAGAAGAAATAAATGCAATTTCAAAACAAGCTAAGACAAAAAAATAAATTTTTTTCAGATATCAATTAAGTCAAAGCTAAAATTCCATATTTATTCCCCATACCAGCATTGAAGTGACTTTAATAAAAATATATACAGATTTACAAAAACTACAGAGTGTTAACTCCAGTCATTATCATTACTACATACTTAAATTCTTTAACAAGCATTTATCCATCTCCTAGGAGCAAAGTTGTAATATTTTTAGTTTTCTTACTGCATAATTCATATTATAAAATTCTTACACTTGCAAAAATTCAGAAAGAACATTAAATGCAATAAAAAGAAAATCTAGTAAATTATTTTCCTCACATACAAGAGTGTATTTTACATATTATGCAAAGATACATGGCCTTCACATATGATATTTATTTCTGATGATTAAAATCTCTCAAACTAAACTAATAGAAGATTCTGGTCAACAACTACTTGGATTTTTTTGTCCTTCAAAATGTATTGAAATATCCATGAGTCAAAAAAAATTGTAGGTAATCGTTTTTTATGAACTGTATTTTAATTTTATCAAGCCAAATAAATCCTTGGAAAGGCTCTATTAATAGTCTCAGGCCATCATTTATGATATTACATATTTACTAATTTCTCTCCAATTACTGTTTTGTTTCAGGGGGTAAGAGAAAAAGTGTGTGCATGCACACACACATTTCAACTCAGGTCTACATAATTTTAACTAACTAGCTAATAAAAGCATTTTTGAGAATCAGAAAACATACACAAACACAGAGCTCAAGTAGTAATAAGTGTATATTTTTATAAATTGTAGTTGTTTTATTTGGGATATTGTTTTAACTTTGTTTTATAGGAAATTCGGTAAACACAAATACAAAGACAAACATTTTATTCTTGATGAAGTTTTAAAATGGAAGATAGTTACTGATTATATAATTTTTTAACCACATTAAAAAAAGGCAAAACATCCAAGAGTACCAGTACCTACCTGTTGGTAATTCTGTTGCTTAAACTGTTCAATCTGGGATTTAAATAATTTGTTTTCATCTTGTACCTCCTTTTTAAAGAAAAATTAAATATGAATATCTAGATTTTTATTTTCACATAAGCTTTTGAAATATATTATAAAATACAGAAAAATTCCAAAGTAGCAACAATTTTAAAGGATATAATAAAAGCTGTATTAAAACATATGTAGTTACATTTAGCAGTAGCCTGGGTGTGGGTATGTCTCAAAAGGAAAAAAAACAGTAAAAGAAGTAGATCCAAGTACTTATAGGCTGATACTTCATGTCAATAAGGCAAGGGGCCTCCACCTTGACGCGTGCAGTACCTTGGGATGGGCTTTTTGTTGTTGTTGCTGTGGGGCCTGTTATATGCATGACAGCCTAGCAATATCCACAGCTGCTATCTAGTAGGTTCAACACTTATAATGACTAAACATGACTTCATACACTATTCAATGTACCCTGCACAGCACAGCCACTGCAGAAATGGCCAGGATTTAATAACAGCTAGCTTCATTTTAAAGGTTGCAATGTCACTTTTAGAACATACTGAAATTACATATGAATTTTTAAAATCTAAAATATCTTTATGATTGGAGAGCTACCATTTTCCTAAGACTAAAACTCAACAAAATACTTATATTTTAGTACACAAACATTTAAACTCTACAAAAACAGAAGGAACACAAAAGAAATCTAAAGAAAAACTGGAGAGGTGGCAGGGATCACCTCATAAGTAACAAAGGACTAACTTCCCTTATAAATTAGCAAAGTCATCCCAGAAGGAAAAATATGGGAAAAAAAATTAAAGGATATTTTATGTATAAATGGCAGACACATATGAAGAATGCTGACCTTCTCTCCTAAGTACAAATTAAGAACAGTCCTACCCCTAAGATGTTTGAAATGCAGTGAGATAGTGAGGTTAAGCTTAATAGCCTAAATCGTTTGATAATAACAATAAGCTTGTCTTCTGGATGGTTAACAACCTAAGTTTGCAGACCAAAATTAGAGAAAAAGGAGGGCTACAAGGAAAGCCAACATTTTGGCCCTAACCTTCTAAGGTCAATTAGACTCAGGACATATGAGAACTTGTACTGTAATGTCATGTACCTCAGTAGCGTCCCAAATTTTCTGATCAAGAAGATTATGGGGCCAAAGAGGAAAGTGATCGATGACGTAGAGTGTGCTAAGGAGAGTCACATGGGGAGAAGACACTCTCTCAGGCTTTCACAGAGAGCACATTGGCCAAGCAATGGCCGTGACTCATCCACATGGCTGACACTGACAAAGGTTCTACAATCTGAGGTACAGGATCTCAGGATAAATCCTGAGGGGATTTCACTGACCTTCTCAGACCAAAAAGCTACAACTCTTATTGCACATGTCCTGCTTTACCTTGGTCTTAACCATCCAGTGAAAAGTATGAAGACGAAATTTAGGAAGTAAAGCCATGCTGTTATGTTGAGCTGTGGGGGACTCGGGTCAACAATTTCTGACATTGCCAGTTAAACAGAAGACCCAATGCTATCATGGGCTACTGGACTCTTTTAGAATATTTTGCTGAGTTTACACACCTACAATATTCAATAACGGAACTTAGAAAAAATAGGGTACACAGATGAATGTCCATTTTGTATCTGTGTATTCAAAGTGGTTAGGATAGATATATAGTTGCATTCTCTTAATGAATAGAATGATTTGTTCTAATGGGGTTTGTAAATAGGATCTTAAGTCCACATCTTGTACAGCAATTAACCACTAAGAAGAATATATGCAGTGTGTTATTTGTTGAAACTGTACTTCCGATTTCATTTGAAACTGTCTCATTGCTATGTGTTTATCAATAAAATTTTCAAATATAAAAAAAAAAAAAAGAACAATCCTATCATCTTTCAAGTACATTATCAACTGTTCCCACTGCCTGTCCACACTGGAAAGAAGAGGCCTCCATTGGCCAGGGTATAATTGTTAAGGACACCTTCGGAGGGCAATTCCACTTGGGAGGGCCAGCATGACACAGAACCTACTCTTGGGGCATGAACTGTGAGTGTGACCACTCCATAACACTGCAGGGACCAACATGTGCTGACCTTTCAATGTGATGTAAAACAAAACATGCAACACTTGAATTAACACTTGCCCCAGAATTTTACTTCTAGGACTTCATAACAGATACACTATGGTTATGCAAGTGGAGGTACAACCATACGCTAAGGTGAAGCCATAAAAGTTAAGAGCAGAAATATGTGTATGTGGAAAGTGAAAAATATTTGTAACTGGAGCAAAGCAAAAATCAAAAGTGTGTTTAAGGCAGGTGAGGTGGCACATGCCTGTAACCCCAGCTCTCTGGAGGCTGAGGCAGGGGGCTCAGTGGAGTTCAAGGCCAGCGGGACTATACAGTGAGTTCATGGCCAGCATGATGTACATATACCCCGTCTCAAAACACTAAAACAAAAAATAAAAAAGACTCTGTAATTATGTACTGCATGTTTTAAAAAGTATACACAAGTTCATGTATTTATGCATGGATATTTTTTCAAAAGATGTAACTAATATTGATAGTAATTACCTCTGAGGAATGAGACCCATGTCAGAGTGGATGGCTCATTCAGTATTTTTTTTTCTAGCAGTTAAGACTTGTTTAAAACATAGCCAGAGATATTAACTCAGCCAATAATTAATTTCAAATAATTATATTCACCTGTAACAGCTTTGTTTTGCTAGAAAGATCACGCTCCCTTTCTTTTAGCATATCTTCTACCATCTTCATTTCATTTTCCTTTTCTTTCAACCTAGAGTTTTTATAAAGGCCTTATTTTACTAGCATACACAAAAAAGGAAAGTCAGAATCCAAGATTGCCTCTAGGAAAATAACAGAAACAGTATATCTACTGGCTATTTCTCTTCATACACCAAAGCTAAGTTTGTCGTAAAAGATTATTTCCAAGGTAGCTGTTTAAAACCACTACAGCTTTATTTATATTTAATATTTCTGAAGCAAACATGGTTTTTTTCTAGGCAACGGTTAAGATAATGATTAAAATCAACTGTATTTCATCAACATATTATACAAATTACTTAAAGAAGCAAATTTTATTGCCAAGAATCTTAGCCATGATTTAACCTTGGAAATTACAACATGCCCAATGGTTGTGCTGAACAGGTGTCACACACAATTTAACTTGCTACTCCCTTTCCTAGTCTTGATGTAAGTCTTAATCTAGCCCATGTGAGTCCTCCTAGAACTCATGTCTAAACAACAGACCTCTAATATAACATTTAACACTATTAAATGAGCTGTTTGTGTCCCTAGGGAAAAATCTTACCCGTTTCACTAGCCCCAGGGTCTTAAAGGACACAATAAATCCTCATGTATTTGCTACCCCGAACACTATGTGTATCCTACGTTGAGCAAGAAAAAACGTCAACATGCTGACAGATCTATATGAAAAATAAGGCAGCATATATAAGAGTAAGATTAAAGAATGAAAGAAAGAGTAAATCTTAAATGCATATTGTTTAGTGGAAAAAGACAACCTGAAAGATCTATATACTATATGGGCCCAACTGTGACATTCTGGAAAAAGCAAAATCATTAAGACTATAAAATGGGGCCAGGGGCGGGGGGGGGGGGCCTGGCCCTAGCTCAGTTCTTTAAGTGGCTGCTTCCACAAAGCTGTCAGCCTCAGGTTGCTGGAGTTCGATCCCCACAACACTCCAGCCAGCCAAACCTGCCCTGAAGGCATTCGGAGAAAAAAAAAAAAAAAGGGGGGGGGGGGACCAGGGAGATGGCTCAGTAGAATAAGTGCTTCCCTGGCAAGCGCAAGGGCCTGAGTTCAATCCCTGGTTCCGAAAAAAAAAAAAAGACTATAAAATGACTAGTGGTTGCCAGGAGTTCAAGGAGGCAGGGGGAATAAATGAAGTTGGAGTGGGATAAATAGGAAGCACAGGAGAATTTTAGGGCAGTGAAATTATTTAACAATGTAATGATGGACATACTATTATGCATTCATTAAAACCTACGAAGACTGAGCCCCAAAGGGAACGAAGACCTTTAGTTAATAACAACATATTGCTACTGCCTCATGAAGTGTGGTAACTGCACTAGGTTAGTGCAAGATGTCAACAGGGGACTGCGGGACAGAACTGATACAGGTTCTCTGTGTACTTTTCTCTCAGTTTCTCTCTATAACCATAAAAATGTTTCCCCTCCCAATAAAGTCTATTAATTTAAAACACAAAGGACAAACAAAATGTAAAGCAGAAATAAACCTAAAATTATATACTTTTTAACTCGTATACCTACAACAAAAAGGCCACAAGTGTATCTCTTCTAGAAGATGAAAGAATTCTTCCAGGTATGGGATGGCCGGGGAATGGAAGCCAGGGCCTTCACAGTAAGCTACATTCCCAGTGATTTTAACACTAAAATGCTAAGTTGCCCAGGTGGGGCTTGAGTTTGGTTCCTCTAGCTTCAGCCTCCCAGAGTGCTGGAATGACAAGTGTGTGCTACCATAACCAGCTGAAGTCACCCTGACAGGTACACAATACCCAAGAAGTAAATAATCATGTATAAACTGAGCCATCTCGGTGCCAAGAAAAGGCCTAACACCCTGACTATCTGGGTTCAAAAGACACGGTGTAAAGGGGTTCTTCTTAAAACAGACATCAGTAGGACTGACGGGCACTGCATCAAAGAAAGATCCTTAAAACTAACAAGAGGGAAACAGAGGCCGAGGTTCAGATACCTTCCTCACCAATGTAGACTGATTAGACTTATGAAAACAGCCTAGTATTCTAGGATGAACAGTTAAAAAGAGCCAACACCTCCTATGATGATCAGAATCAAAAGTTTTACTATTTAGCACAGAATATTTCACATGGCAAGTTTTATTTTCCTTATGAGCAAGTTATACTTATAGCAAGATTCAGTATCAATATTATGGCTAAGATCATTTTGTTTAACTCAGATGTTATTCTATCATATTAAACTAGTTTTAATTTGAAACAAATTTTGTTTATATAATTGCAAATTTTGTTTTTTAAAAAAACCCTTAAAACCAGTACATATTTGAAGAATGAATATTTGAAAGAATGACTTAGATGGCTTGGGAAAGGATAAAGTCACCAGGTATTTAAAAGTATTTAGAGGGCCTCTGCTTCATTCTACCAAAAAGAGCTTATTTGCCTCCAGACTACAATTAATAACAAGAAGAAACTATAATTACTTTTGACCCATTTAGGCCAAGATTGCAAATTTTTTAACTTTTGTATGAAATGATCTGGAAACAATCAAGGAACAGAATTTAAAGAGAAAAAAATTTACTACGTTCTAGTATTACGAGCATTTCAAAAATGAAACACTAAGCATTGAATGAAGAAGCACATTCTGAAAAACAGCAAGTTCTTACTGATACTGCTGGCTAAAAGTATACTTACACAATTTCAAGTTCTTCATACTGTGATGCAGAATGCACCTAAGAAAGATTCATATTTTTAACACTAGCAACAAATAAAACCAAGTATCACAACATGTATACAAAATCAACCCAAAACACAGAAACATAATTATGTGGCAGATTTGTTGGTAAGCCACTTATAAAACAAAGAATGATTTTTATCAAACTTAGTTTTTGAAAGAGAAGGCATTTAAAAAATTAAAAAGGGAATATTTATAGGATTAGGTTGATGAAGTTATTTTAACAATAACAAAATTACAGTACAATAAGAATTATCTGGGCAAAGAAACTGACCAGATTAAGCTCTTTATTAAAGAAACTCAGTCCTTATAATCTACATATACTATACCTCTTGCAAGTCATGTCGTGCTATTTCTTGAACATGAGCCTTTAAAGATTCATTTTCTTCTTGAAGATCCTAAAAAACAATAGGTATGAACTGATACTCAAATATTAAAAAGGTTTTTCTTTTTATACTTTTGTTTTTTAAAGTCTTACCTGTAACCATTTCCCTCTATTGGCTAAGTCTTTCTCCTTCTCTTCTAAAACAGCTTTCATGGTATTCACCTGTTCCTCCTTTCGTTTTAATCTGATAATATATTAACAAGAAATATGAATAAAAATATTACATGAACATAAATAATGGAGGCTGGAAAAATATACCCACAGCCCAAGCAGATTAAAATAAACTAATATTTCATGTTAAAAGGATAGACGCTGGGCATGGTGGTACACACCTGCAATCCTAGCACTCAGCAGGCTGAGGCAGGAGGCCTATCACAAGTTTCAGGCCAGCATGGGTTACACAGTAAGATCAAGCCTAACCTGAACTACATAGCAAGACCGTGATTCAACAAAAAGAATTTAAAGGCCTGCCAGATAGCTCAGCAGACTAAAGCACCTGCTTAGGCAGAGCACAGGGGCCAGAGTTCGATCCTTGGTGTGCAGGCACTGCCTGTGGGGCACACTGAGACCACAACTGAGACTGGGCGTAGTGGTGCGCACCTGTAATCCCAGCGCTTGGGAGGCTGAACACAGGTGGATCACTACGAGTCTGATCTAGGTAGTGAGACCCTGTAGACCCTGTACTAAATATATTAATAAAAATTATATATATATGTATATATAAAGAATTCATACAAGACTTTAGAGACTATCAAATTAGGAAGTATAGGACAATTAAACAAATTGCTCTATCTCTGAAAATCCAGACAATAAATACATTAGGGTAGCTCTACAATAGATCTCCCTGTTTTAAGAAATGCCAGCAAACTTAGACAGCTTATTACAAGTGGATTGAGAATAAAATACATACCTAGTTTCACATGACTATTTATATAGGATGAGAGCTATAGTCACTTAAAGTCATATTCAGATCATAAATCAAAAAGTAAGAATTCACATCCTACTCCTTTCTACCAAAAAAGAAAAACACAAACAAAACCATATAGGTTAAAGCATAATGAAAAAATGCAATACTGTAAGGCTTTGTGAATAATTTGATGTTTTCTAAAATATTAATTGAAATAAAAGCATGTTATAATTGTCATTATATTTTATTTCTGGAAAAGGTATTTATAGGTAAATAAGAAAAATGGTACTTACAAATTCTGTAGCTCCTGAACTTGAGAAGTAATAGATAACTGAAATACAAAGTACAAAAAAGGTAATTCATAATCCTTTTGCTTTATGATATACTTAGCATTCTTTGACATTTACAAAGGCCCCAGCTCAAATTTTTATGCCCAAATGAGATGTTTTTATTACATTCTACTTGACAGTAAAAGTAACAACAGTATAAGAGGAGGGGCTAAGACAAGGAAGATGGTGATAAATAATAAGTCTAAATATCGATATTTTTACAATTATGAAAGTAAAATTACTAGTTTTCCACATACCTTCCTACAGCTCAGTTATCAAGGGTAACTATTTAATAGGACCCTATGACTGTCCTTCTGAAGTACTCTATTACTGTTCTCCTTTTCAAACGTACCAGACTGGCTATTAGTAGTTTTGTCTCCCACTCTAGTCTCACAGCCCCTTCAGATCTTAGCACAGGTCATCAGTTCTTCAGGAGGTGTCTCTCCTAACGTCACGATCTGTGTTACACAAGCGTATTTTTTTCACTATACCTTGTTTTGTTCAACATATGATCTCTAATCACTAGTACAGAGTTTTGATAGGGAAGAAGAACTGAATAAATACTGTTGAATAAATCTGTTAGGTGAAAGAATCTTTTCTTCTACCCCATAATCTCAAATTTTTGAATAAAGCCTCATCAGGTTAAACTCCATTAAATTCACGTAATTCTAATAAACACATCTACCTCTGGGGGGAAAAAAACTTATAATTTTGTTCTACAGACAGAGGTTGAGTAATACATACTCTATAATAAATTATTCTGTCCCAAGAGTTTTCCCTTTTAAGGGTGGAATTTAAAAGAAGAATTTAATAAGTTTTTAGTATTCTGCTTTAAATTGGCAAACAAAAATAAAATATTAACTTTGTTTTTTGTTTTCAGTACCAGGGATTGAACTCGGGACCCTGCACTTGCCAGGCAGGCACTTATTCTACTGAGCTATCTCCCTGGCCCGAAAATGAAATATTAGTACAAAAAACATTTTAGGAAAAAATTTTGACAGCTAAACTTTAAAAGGTATACAATATCAAGGACATCTGAAATCAAAAAGCGCCGGGGCTGAGGAGATGGCTCAATAGAATAAGCGCTTCCCTGAAATCAAAAAGCGTATTTTCTCACATTAGGTAAAAAAAAAAAAAAAAAGTATTTAACCTAACTACTGACAGCACATTACTAGAAGACTTTTTCCGAGCAACAAAGAAAAAAATCAAGTAACTCATAAACAACACATAGACTAATAAATCTGTCATGCTATGGCTCTGGGATTTTTACCTGTTGAGCCTTTTCAAGCTGGACATTTCCTATTTCTTCTTTTAGAGCCTCTATTTCCTGTTTCAAATCCTTGACAATAACAAAACAAGACAAGATTGGACAATGGAAACACATAAATTGACATAAAATGCAATGCAAAGACAAACAGATGAAATTAAATGACAATAACTAAAGTTGATAAACAGAAAAGCAAATACACTATTCTCTTTCTCCTAATACCTGAACAGTTTTCTCCTTATTAGCAACTTTAAGAAGTTCAGCTTCTAGAAGTTCTTCTACAGATTTGATCTTTCCATCTTTCTCATGGATCCTTAAATAAATAAATGTAGTATTAACTTCAATAGAAATCACCAAAATCCATCAAGATACCAAAAAAGCCACCAAATCTCAAAATGCTTCGCCAAATCCACGCTTCCCTATTTTAAGTAAAATAGCAACCTATTCTTGCAAAATAAAAAACAAAAAAGCAAAGCTCTTCCTAAATGAGACTTAATCATCAACTATTAGCTGGTTGTAACTTATACACAAGTCGGTGATTACTTACAAAAGTACATTAGAAGGGCCCGCAGGATAGCTCGGTGCACTAAAGTGCCTGCTTAGGCAGAGTACAGCGGTGGGGTTTGACCTCCAGCATGCCATGCTGGCCCCGTACCAGAAGCACACTGAAACAGCGATCAGACTGGGCATGGTGGCAAACACCTGTAATCCCAGTGCTTGGGGGGCCGAAAAACAAGGATCACTACGAGTCCGATCTGTGTAACAAGACCCTGTACTAAATACATTAAAAAAAAAGTACATGGGGAGCCAGGCATGGTCGCTCAGGACTGTAATTCCAGGTCTTCTGGATGCTGAGGCAGAAAATCTGCAAGTTCAAGTCCTGTCTGAGCAATTTGGCAAAACCCTGTCTCAAAAAAATAAAAAGGGGTTGGGGAAAACAATAAATAAAAAGGGGTTGGGGAAAACAATAAATAAAAAGGGGTTGGGATGTAGCTGGATTCAATACCCAGTACTATCAAGAAAAAAAAAAGTACATGAAGAATGTAAGATTTGTACTATGAAGAACAACTGGGAGAAAAAAGGGTCCCTCAACAGTACTAGCTTCCAAGATGCTGAAAGCCGCAGATAACAGACACAATTATGGCATCAAACTTCACAACATCTAAAGAATGCAAAGAATTGATCTCTCCAGAATAACATGTTTTTTTAATAGTCCCTACTACAAGACAAAAAATAAACAATTTGATGTCATACAAAAATAAATAGAGGAGGGGCCAGGGAGATGGCTCCGCAGAATAAGCACTTTCCTGGTAAGCGTAAGGGCCTGAGTTCAATCCCCGGTCCCGTAAATAAATAAATAAATAAATAAATAAATAAATAAAGGGGCCAGGGAGATGGCTCAGTAGAATAAGTGCTTGCCTGGCAAGTGCAAGAGCCTGAGATCAATCCCCAATTCTGCCTAAATAAATAAATAGAATCAATGTTAGAAATTAAGAGTAAATTTGAGAAACACAGCTAACTTCATTTAGTCTATTAATAAAAATTCTAAAGTCAATGTGGATCCCCTGTCCAACTAAGCAATGAAACTAATTAATGCATACTGAGAAAATAGGTCAAAAGTAAAAAGGTTTATAACAATGTTACCACTTACACTTTCTTAAGTTCTTCAACTAGAGATGCAAAAGAAACCTGAAATAGAAAAAACATCTTAATAATTTGTTCAAACCCTAAGTGGGTCAGAAGCAGAAAGTTACAGGGCCAGGAAGCTAGCTCAGCAGCGTAAGCACCTGCCCCAGGCCAACAAACACAAGCTCCTGAGTTTGATCCTAGTACTGTTAAAAAAAAAAAAGAAAGAAAAGGAAAAAGAAAGAAAGAAAAGAAAAGAAAGAAAGAAGAAAAAAATACAATTACCATTCTACCAAAATTTAAATGGAAAAAAACAAGCCCACAATTTTTTTAGATATTTTAAATGGTGAATAACAAAAAAATAGCATTTAAAAAGTAGTTTAAGCCTAATTATAGACAACAAAAGAAAAACCATTAGATAAATACCTGAATTACTAATTCTAACCAGACAAAAAGACAAAATACAACTAGAAAACAGCCTCATTTCAAGCAGCAGATTATTTAGTTTTATCTTTTTACTACTGTATAAAAAAGCAATGACATCCTAGTCTAGACTACACAGTGCTTGGCATGCAGACAGCTTTTAATAAATTGTATTTTCTAATACTGACAATCAAGTAACTAACTGCTCACTGATTAAAGCTATCTACCTTGGAAGAGAAACAGACAAAAGATGTGGTATTTCTGCATGTAACACCTCTGTCCAAAAGAGTTGTGGAACACATACATACCTGATCATTTTGCTTAGCCTTTAAATCTTGCACTTCTTTTGTCAGAGATGAGTTTTCTGTTCTTATTGCCTTTTTTCAAAAACATGTAAGAATAACATACTTTTACCTTCTGAAAAAGTAGGTAGCTTCAAAATAATAGCTTCTCACTTTTCTTCAGTTCCACCTTTTCCTCTCTGGACGAGCTACAATCTCGCTTGCTCCTTAATCAATTCTATGCTGGCCAAATGGCTGTAATTCATTTATCCCCACAAACATTTCTACTTACATTTCCACACCTTCAAAACTACATAGTATATCTCTTGCAACTCATCCATGGCCCTCTCTAAATTCAAATACATCTTTACTTACTCTTCCCAGTAAGCCTGCCCTACTCAGATTAGTTAGGGCTAAGGATAACAATGAACCAGAACCGCACTCTTCTTCCTCTCACCCCCAGTGAGGGTTCATGAAGTCTGCTAGCAATCATCTAGTCGTAATCTGCACGTGAGTGCAAGTGGACCAGCATGCACAGTGTACACCTCATTAACGCAGGGAATGGTACCATTAACTACACATTTTTTCTATTTGTGAGCATCTGAAATTCGATTTTAAAAGGTATTTTATACATTTATAAAATGTGAGTAGTTAATAGTAAGTTTAATAGCTATAAGATAACCTTGGGTTCAGGAAATAGCTCAGAGGTGTTAAGTGTCTATCTAGCAAGCAGAAGATCCTGTGTTTGATCCCCAGTATGGGGGAAAGAGAGGAGAGGAAAAGAGAGGAGAGGGGAGGGAAGGGGAAAGGAGGGGAGCGAAGGGGAGAAGGGAGGGGAGGGAGG